TGTGGAAGGGGGCGGGCCGAACGCCGGCTTCCGGCGGAAAAGCGCGGGAGCAAGATGGCCACCACCAAGCGAGTGCTGTATGTGGGTGAGCAGGCGCGGGCGCTAGGCGGAGTCTGGGTGGACCAGGTCCCGAGAGGATCGGGTCGTGGGGTGGGACACGTCTCCTAACCAGGAGGGAGGCGAGCAGCTGTCAAGAACCGAGTCTGTGGCAGCATTGCTTTGCCTCAGAATGTTGAGCTCGTGACCTAATGAGTATGACGGCTTCCTTCCTAGGCCTCTAAGCTCCAACAGTGCCAGAAGAGTGATAGAGGAATATTATGGTCCTCCAATCCTCGCGCGTCCATTCGTTTTTATAAACATTCAGTGCAGCCCTGGCCCCTGCCTTAAAGGAAGGAGTTCCCAGACTAGCCAGAAAAAAAGTGGGAATAACTTCAGTATCACACTTTGATAAGCGTTGTTGTGGGGACGGACAATGATGACATGGGCTTGGGTGCGGGGAGAAATGACCCATCTGGAGAGGTGACAGACTCGGATGCGGTGACGCAGGAACTGATGAGCAGGAGTTACCGAAAGGGAACTGCGAGAGCAGAAGCCCAGAGGTGTGAAATGTCCCACTTGAGGGCAAGTGGGTCTTTTTTCGGGAAACCCTGGGAATTCGGTAAGCAAAGTGCAAGAAGCTGGAGAGGTGGGTACACCGCTGAGGCGTTTGCACTTTATCCTGACAACAGTGAGAAACCAGTAGTTTAAAGAGAAGTGTTGAGTTCAAATCTGCATTTTCCTAACATCATTCTAGTTAGCTTTGTGGAGGTGATAGAATGAAAGCAGGAAGGTCAGTTATGAAGGTATTGCAGTAATCCTGGAACTAGATGAGGGTCTGAAAGAAGGGTGAAGAGGGGAGTGTGCTTCATAAGTAAGAGTGGGCTGCAGATGAAAGAAGGGTGTTTGTGTACCCAAAGAACTGATGGAAGAACCCCTTCCCTTGACTGGCATGCTAAAACTAGGCTGCAGGGACCTCTACAAGAATGACTCAGAAGGCCCTTGGTGTCCTTGCAGGTGGGCTGGCAGAGGAGGTGGATGACAAAGTTCTTCATGCTGCTTTTATTCCTTTTGGAGACATTACAGATATTCAGATTCCTTTGGATTATGAAACAGGTGAGTTAGTGTCTCCTGTTCAGAATCCTCTTACTAGGAAGATAACTTTTAAAAAAAAGTCACATCGCAATTGTAAATATGGTTAGTATACAGTATAGGAAAGTTCAGGAGGGTGCTTGGTCAGCATGGCAGTGATCCTGATGCAGAAGGAATGTTTTGAGGCCATGTGGTTATGAGCTGTTAAATACTTTGCAAAGTTTCCATCTGTTAGGTTTGAGATAAGACAAATTTTCCAATAGACCAATAGAAAGATATGTTTGAACTACATTAATATCTGAGTGTCATTTCAGACCACCTACTCAGTACTCCATTCCACCTGCTCCTTCTTGTCAGCTGTGCTATTAAAAGAGGCAGTAAAAAAGCCTGGCCCCATAATGGGACCTTGGACTCTGCATACCTGAGTAGATTTTCTTTCAGTTGGTATCACAGTTACAGTTCAGTTTTCTGTCTTATAGACAGTTTTAGGCTCAGCTCTGTCATCAACTTTGCATATGATTATTAGCAAAGTCTTTAAGCCCTCTGAGCCTGGGGAATCCATATTTGCAAAAATGGTAAGGTTATACTGACTTTCTAAGGACTCTTCTTGTCTTTGAGCTCTGTTATTAAATTAACAATGGTGTGCTTGGCCTTTCTAGTTAGATCAGCATTTTTCTGAGGATAAAGACTTAAGCATCAATATCAAGTTTAAGGATTCATGCTTTATGCACAGTTGATATTTGTCCTCAAAATGATATTTGTCCTCATGGAAGTACAAATGGATGTTCAAAATGTATATTTGGGTGAATAATTGAGAGGTTAAATTCTTTATTTTTCTAATTGCCTTGAATGCAAAGGTTAAGGTTTAAGTTCAACTTTGGTAGGAAAATTTAATGATTACTTTAAAGATTAAAAATATAGTTCATTATTTAGCTATGTCCACTAAAAAACAAAGTTTAGTATTGGTTTTTTTTTTTTTTTTGAGTTGGAGTCTCACTCTGTCGCCCAGACTGGAGTGCAGTGGCCGCTCCCGGCCACCGCAGCCTCGACCTGCTGGGCTCC